TGTGACCGGTGCCTTACTCTGTTGTTCAGGCTGGTCCTGAACTCCTGGCCTCCAGCTGTCCTCCTAAGTAGCAAGGTCTATCAATATATGCCACTATGCACAACATATTTTAAATTTTTTTGTAGAGATAGTCTTTTATGTTGTCCAGGCTTGTCTCAAACTCCTCATCTCAAGTGATCTTCCTACTTCAGCCTCCCAGAGTGCTGGGATTATAGGTACAAGTTACAATTCCTGTCTTCATCACTTTTTAAAGCCTTGTTTCTTACCGGGCATGGTGGCTCAGGAGTTCGATACCAGCCTGAGCAAGAGCAAGACCCCATCTCTACTAAAAATAAGAAAAAAACTGGCCGGGCATTCTTGCAGGTACCTGTGGTCCCAGCTACTTGGGAGGCTGAGGTAAGAGAACTACTTAAGCCCAAGAGTTTGAGGTTGCTGTGAGCTATGATGCAACATCACTCTACCAAGGGTAAGCAACACAGTGAGACTCTGTCTCAAAAAATAAATAAATAAGCAAAAATAAAATCTTGTTTTCTCTCCTCTCAAAAGAAGTTTGATGATATTGAATGGATCTTTGTAGGTATAAGCTATAGTTCATGACTATCTGTTTTCATCCTTTCCTTTTATTTGCCATTATGGGTTTTAGTTATTATTCTTTTTACTTTGAAGGATCTGAAGGCCAATGAGTCACGACTGAAGGACATTAACAAGGTAGCTGAAGACCTAGAGTCGGAAGGTCTAATGGCAGAGGAGGTACAGGCCGTACAACAACAGGTAGGTGTATCCATCTTGGAGTAAGGCTTTGTTGCCATAAGGAGGCAGCTTGGTTCCTTCCTGTGTCTTTAGAGCCCTACAGGCCACCTTTCAACGTACAAAATTGTGGGTTGGCTGTAGGACAGGTCCTTGTGCAGTGGCCCCCCCACCTTTTGCAGTGGAGGGCTTTTTTCTTCTCCATAAGCCCATTAAAGGTTATGAAAGCTGTTTGATGCTTATGGAGTAATTAATATAATTTAATGAGTTCCTTAATTTTTAATTTTTTTTTTTTAGAGACAGAGTCTCATTCTCTTGCCCTCAGTAGAGCGCTGTGACATCATAGCTCACAGCATCCGCCAGCTCTTGGGCTTAGGTAATTATCTTGTCTCAGCCTCCCGAGTAGCTGGGACTACAGGCGTCCGCCAAAACCCCCAGCTACTTTTTTGTTGCAGTTTGGCTGGGGCTAGGTTCAAACCCACTACCCTTGGTATATGGGGCTGGCGCCGCCCAAGTTCCTTAAATTTAAAAAAGTTTTACATATAAATTCTTGACTCTTAAGAAGTTCTGCTAGAAAATTGGGCTAACATACCTCTCTTTCCTTTCATAATTCTCTCCTGTGTCTACAGGCTTAACAGTAATGAGTATTGCTGAGAAATATGCATTTCCTCTAATAATAAAACTTGTTTCTCTCTCTCCTCCTAGGAGGTGTATGGCATGATGCCCAGGGTAAGTCCAGATGCTCTATGTGGAACTTGAACATGAGAAGCATCAGATCTTGGGAAGAATATAAAGTTAACTGCTTCTTCATAAGAATTTCTATTCCTGAACCTCACAGATGTCTTTTGTTTATAAAAATCTATGCAGAATACCAGAAATTGATTTCTATTTGCCATTTTCCAAAAGACAAAAATTGATTGATTTTCGGGTAGAATGTGGGGGTTGCTTGTTTTTTAAGAGGTAATGTCTTGCTATACTGCCCAGACTGCTCTTAAACTCTTGGGCTAAAGTGATCCTCCTGACTCAGCCTTATAAGTATGATGGCTGAGACTGCAGTTGCACACTGCCAAGCACAAAGATAAAAAAAAATTTATCTCCTCACTTTTCTAAATTTTTCCATAGCTTTCATTAATATTTTTTGCCTCTTTCAAAAAATCCTATGAGTTTGACATAAATAAAAGTTGGTAGATGTCTTAGTAAATTTCCTCATTCTCCCCATTTCTTCTACTAAGTAAAATTTGGAACTTTTTTCTCCTTGTTTAGTTTTTCTTAGCCATCATTTCAGTTTGTTACTAGCCATAATAATTTCTAAATTACAGAAGGGAAATGCTGTTTAGGTTCATTCATTTGTATAGTCCCCTTGAACAAATAGAAGCATCATGGAAGGAAAAGTTGGGTGCTTTGTTGTTCTGTGCGTACCTGGATGATAGCCTAAATACCTTCTCCTCTGAACAGGATGAATCTGATTCCAAGACAGCCTCCCCGTGGAAGGTAAGAACTCCTCTGCAAATTATTATTTCTCAGGGTTTTATAGAACCATAAAACATTTTACACTCTTTTCTGATTTTACACTCTTTTACCTTTTCTGAGTATTCAGTTTATCTTGAGCCTTTGGTCATTTCTGGACTTGATTAGACTTGTTTCTTTTTGATCTTGACTTTATATTCTCTGAATCTGTTATCTCTTAAAATGTGATGTTTGGCTCGGCGCCTGTGGCTCAACCCGCTAAGGCACCAGCCACATACACCTAAGGTGGCGGGTTCGAATCCAGCCCGGACCCGCCAAACAACAATAATGGCTGCAACCAAAAAATGGCCAGGCATTGTGGCGGGCGCCTGTGGTCCCAGCTACTTGGGAGGCGGAGGCAGGAGACTCGCTTGCTGCAACCAAAAAATGGCCAGGCATTGTGGCGGGCGCCTGTGGTCCCAGCTACTTGGGAGGCGGAGGCAGGAGACTCGCTTGAGTCCAGGAGTTGGAGGTTGCTGTGAGCAGTGAAGCCATGGTACTCTACCCAGGGGGACAGCTTGAGGCTCTGTCTCAAAAAAAAAAAATGTGATGTTTGATACACAAAAGCAAGATGTTCATATTGAAATGCTTGGTACAGTTAGGTCAAATTTATCACCCGTGTCAGTGCCAGAGTTTTCCTCTCAGCATTGCATTGTCAGGAGGGGCCCACCAAGATTGCAATCTAGAAGGAAAGGAAAGTAGACCTTCCATTCACCATCTATCAACCTGTTTTTCCAATGGCCTAAGAAAGGTTTCAGAGAAGAAACCAAGTCGTAGTTCAAGATCAGCCTGAGCCAGAGCGAGACCCTGTCTCTTAAAAAAAAAATAGCCAGATGTTCTGGCAGGCACCTGTAGTTCTAGGTACTTGGGAGGCTGAGGCAAGAAGATCGCTTGAGCCCAAGAGTTGGAAGGAGGTTTTTGTGAGGTTGAGGTTACTGTGAGCTGTGTCGCCATGGCACTGTATGTACCCAAGCTGACTGAGACTCTATCTCAGAAAAAAAGACTGGGAGGCTGAAGTGGACAGAGTGCCTAAGCTCGCAAGTTCAAGACCAGCTCTAAGCTAGAGCGAGACCCTGTCTCTAAAAATAGCCAGGTGCTGTGGCAGGCGCCTGTAGCCCCAGCTTACTTAGGAGGCTCAGACAAGAAAAGTGCTTGAGCCTAAGAGTTTGAAGTTGCTGTGAGCTATGATGCCACGGTACTCTACCAGGGGTGAAAAAGTGAGACTCTGTCTCAAAAAAAGAAAAAAGATACCAAATCCAGAGGAGAGATGTAGAGAAACAAGAGATGGTCACCAACTGCAGTAGACATTGTAGCCCAATCCAGAATGGACATAACTCTGACTAGGAATACAGGGGAGAAAGTTTTTTTATTTTTTATTTTTAGAGACAGAGTTTCACTTTATTGCCCTTAGTAGGGTGCTGTGACATCACAGCTCACAGCAACCTCCAACTCCTGGGCTTAGGCGATTCTCTTACCTCAGCCTCCCAAGTAGCTGGGACTATAGGCACCCAACACAACACCAGGCTGTTTTTTTGTTGTTGCTGTTTGGCTGGGGCCGGGTTCAAACCTGCCACCCCCAATATATGGGGCTGGTGCCCTACCCACTGAACCACAGGCACTGCCCAGAAGGATGTTTTTATTTCTTTTTTTTTTTAGAGACAGAGTCTCACTTTATTGTTCTCCGTGAGTGCTGTGGCGTCACAGCTCACAGCAACCTCCAACTCCTGGGCTTAGGCAATTCTGTTGCCTCAGCCTCCCAAGTAGCTGGGATCACAGGCGCCCGCCACATCGCCCAGCTATTTTTTGTTGCAGTTTGGCCAGAGCCAGGTTTGAACCCACTACTCTCAGTATAGGGGACCTGCACCCTACTCACTGAGCCATAGGTGCCACCCCCAGGAGAAAGTTTTTAATGTGACCTATTTGTACTTGTGATCATGTCACTGGCTATCTGTGTCTTAATTCTACCATTCTCCCTCCCAATCTAGCTCTTTAAGAATATATCACTTGAGTTATCGCCACGGTAGGAGAGATTTCTACTTTGTAAAAGTTCGGCCTAGGCATGATGGCTCATGCCTGTAATCCTAGTACTCTAGGAGGCCAAGGGAGGTGAATTGCTTGAGCTCATGAGTTCAAGACCAGCCTATGCAAAAGTGAGACCGTATCTCTACTAAAAATAGAAAAACTGGCTCAGCGTCTGTGGCTCAAGGGGCTAAGGCAGCAGCCACATACACCTGAGCTGGTAGGTTCAAATCCAGCCCAGGCCCGCCAACCAATAATGATGGCTGCAACCAGAAAATACCCTATGGCTCAGTGAGTAGGGCCCCGGTCCCATATACCAAGGGTGGCAGGTTCAAACCTGCTCCCAGCCAAACTACAAAAAAAAAAAAATAGCCAGGCGTTGTGATGGGTGCCTATAGTTCCAGCTACTTGGGAGGCTGAGGCAAAAGAATCGCCTAAGCCAGGAGGTGGAGGTTGCTGTGAGCTGTGTGACGCCATGGCACTCTACCAAGGGTGATAAAGTGAGACTTTGTCTCTACACACACACACACAAAAAAAAATATCCGGGCATTGTGGCGGGCACCTGCAGTCCCAGCTACTTGGAAAGTGGAGGCAGGAGAATCACTTGAACCCCAGGAGTTGGAGGTTGCTGTGAGCTGTGATGCCACACCACTCTACCCAGGGCAACAGCTTAAGGCTATGTCTCCAAAAAAAAAAAAAAATAATAAT